ACAAAATACGTACTATGTATGTACTATCGCTGGTTTGCTGAATTTCAACGTGGACGTGTCAAGCTCAGTGATTATCCCCGTGAAGGTCGTCCAAAAACTGCAGTCACCAAGAAAACGTTGATGCTGTGCGTAAGCTGATTGAGGAAGATCGACATGTGACCTACTGCGAAATTCAGGCAACTTTAGACATTGGCATGAGTCAAATACAAATGTACAAATAATCTTTGCATGAACAATTAGGTGTAAAAAAAGTTGTTTTCCCGATGGATTCCGCATTCGCTCTGTGAAGAGCAAAAAGCGGCTCGCGTTACTTGGTGCGTCAGAACTCTCGAAAGATTCCACGCAGGATCCTCAAATGCCGTATACAACATCGTATCAGGTGACGAATCCTGGATATACGCGTACGAACCCGAAACAAAAAACCAGTCACGAGTTTGGGTATTCGAAAATGAGTTAAAGCCAACAAAAATTGTTCGTTCACGGAGTGTTGCAAAAAAAATGGTGGCCACGTTTGTCTCCAAAACCGGCCATGTTATGACTATTCCTCTTGAGGGACAAAGAACGGTTAATGCAGAATTGTATGCTAGCATTTGCTTGCCACAGGTCGTTTCTGAACTCCGTAAAGAGAACTGCAACCGCCGCATCATCCTCCATCACGACAATGCGAGTTCTCACACCGCACACAGAACAAAAGAGTTTTTAGAGCAAGAAAGCATAGAATTATTAGACCATTCGCCGTACAGCCCCGACCTAAGCCCTAATGATTTCTATACTTTCCCTAAAATAAAGAATAAATTGCGTGGACAGAGATTTTCATCACCTGAAGAAGCTGTGGACGCCTACAAAACGGCCATTTTGGAGACCCCAACTTCCGAATGGAATGGTTGCTTCAATGATTGGTTCCATCGTATGGAAAAATGTGTCAAATTTCGCGGAGAATACTTCGAAAAGCAATAAATACATTTTTAAATAGTAATGTTGTGTCACTTCCTTGATTCCCGAAATTTTCGTACAAGTCGACCTTTAGGTAAAATTATGGTATTTTCGCTTAGTATTATTACGATACTGTGTACTACAAACTATGAAATAATGGTACAATTAGGATAATTATAACACGAAATTCGACCCTGGTTACGTCGTATTTTGATATAACGTTTGTATTATGACAGATGCGCTACTTTTTCTTGTATGAAAAAGTTATGAGTAAAATATTTAGATGGGCCTATCCTTCCTTTTGAAATCATTGATATTATGCCTTATCTTCGAAAAATTTTCATAATTTTTATAGTTTTGAGGTTTAATATAATTTACAGTTTTCAAAAGCTTCGAATTTATCATAAATACCTAACCGGTATGGTTATATAGTGACCTTGGATTACAATTATTCAATATAATTATTCTTGCTATTTATTTGTTAGACATGAGTGTGTATTTTTTTCATATATTTAACAATATTATCACTAATCAGGAGTTTTTATAACAAAAGATCGCCAAGCAAAACCTGCTTAGTACATGGTGAGGTTAAAAAGTAGCTTAGAATATATGAAAATAATAAATAGGTTATTAATCGTACCTTTCGGCTTGCTAAATGATGCTAATTTAAAAAAGGAATGGATTGATGCCACTGAAAGGTCACCTGACTTCGTTCCCTACAAAAACTAGTACTGGTCGTCGTAATTTGTATGCGAATTAAAATTATCATAAAAACAACTTGTCTCGCTAATGATAACTAAGCAATTAAAACTAAAAATGTCAAACAGGAACTCATGGCAAAGGCTTTGTCAAATTTAATTTTTTTTAATGTTAAGTTTCACCAATTTGAGCAGTCCCCGATGAATAATCACATTATATTTCTTATAAAAGCAGTCATGGGAAAATACATTAATTTAAGATTACACTATTTGACAAAAATGCCACCCCAGATATATAAAAACTAAGTATAATAAGTGCTGCACAAATACCTTCACTTTACAGGTCAGTGAGTAAGCACCATAGCGTGGTTATAAAATACCTACTACTTCAATGCGCTATAATAGTCTAAACCAACATAATCGGATTTTTTATTGTTTTATTTATTTTATATTTAGGGCCCAAAAATTTTTAGTACATAATACATACATAAACACTCACGCCTGTCACCCAGAGGGGTAGGCAGAGACTACAGACTTCCATTTAGCACGATCCTGACATACCTTTCTCGCCTCTTCCACATCCATATACCTACGCATACATGCTCGTCGGTTAAGGGTACTCTTAATTTGGCCCATTTTTAGTATATCGCCAATTTGGTCGTCAAACTTCCGCCTAGGACGTCCCTTTCCGACTCTTCCATTCACTTCTGCAACATATATTTGCTTTGTCAGTCTTTCCGCATTCATTCTTTCTACATGACCAAACCACCGAAGCATTCCTTTCTTAATCCTGGTCACCGCATCATCTTGCAAACCACACTCTTCTTTTATCACACAATTTCTCACCCTGTCACTTAGATTCAGCCCTAACATACTCCTTAGCGACCGCATTTCTACTGCATTTATTCTACTCTCGTGCTTCTTCTGCCACACCCAACTTTCACTACCATACGTTAAAGTAGGGACTAATACAGCACTGTGAATTGCCATACGTGCCTTTTTTGACACATTCTGACTTTTCACAATAGAGTGTAGAGCCCCATTTACTTCATTTCCTGCATTCACTCGTCGTTTAATATCCTTATCATATCTCCCATCCCTGCTGAATACACATCCCAAATATACGAACTCATCCACTTGCTCAATTAACTCTCCTTCTATTCTTATTTCACATAACGTTTTGCTTTCTTCTCTTTCAAAAACTCTTTCACTCTTCATCACTTTCGTCTTATTTTAGTACAATTTTGGTTTAAATGAAACAATCGATAACTTTCCAATTTAGTCAATCACTAACGTGTATGTAAAATAAATGGCTTTTTACAGCACAACGATAGTGACTGATATTTTTACGTGAGTAAGTAGTACGGTGAATGGTTAAGGGGATATAGTAAGTCAGTTCAAATTCTAATTTCGTCCCCACTTGCCCGCGCGTCGTATTATATGTACCGACATGTTTGTAAGTAGAAAGGTAGTTACACACTTATTTCATTAGGTTTATCATATTTATGCCTGTTTCTTAACGCCAAGCCAGTCGTTTCTTATTTTTATTACGGTTATAGCCAGTCGTTTCTTATTTTTATTACGGTTATTTCCCATTTTAATTTTACGTCGTCCTGTTGCGTTATGTATATTCTGATCGTAAGCGACACAACCTCCTCCTTCAAAGGCCAAAGCGAAGTGATCGGGCGGCAAGAATCACGCTTCAAGAGGTCGATAGTTTAGGTAATTTCTTTTTACAGTGAAAATGGTATTTTAAAATAAGTAAATAACATAAGCACTGCTTTATAGTTAGTTCAGTTAGTATGCAAAGTTTCATGATCTTATTTAAAGTATTTTATGAATAAAAGCGTTTTATTGTTTATTTTGGAGGTAATTTTGGATCTTTTTTCTATCGAGAAAATTTTACGAAATCGTGTTTTCGTCTAACATAATCCTTAACATTAATCCTCAACTATACCATATATTTATTTCAAAATTAATGCTGCAATATTTTCGGCATAACGAAGGATCTTGCTAAGCCATTTGAGATTATATTTCCCCTTAATGGACGTTGTGGGTTTAGAGATATGGTTTATAATTAATTGTGCAGTACGTTATGATTTATTAAATTCGAGTGTATGTGACTGCGTATCTATTGCTTTTACTGATCTGTTTGTGTAGTAGGTAGTTGGCGCGTGGAAGGGGCCAACTGGAGACACCGGGTTCCGATACATTTTCAACTACTGGGCATATCTCCTTCATTATATCTATGGTAGTAATTCATAAGAGCAGACGAAGATTATATGAACTTTACCATGAAAGATAATACAAACTTTCCGATAATTTTAAAGAATGTGTCAAAAATTATTCTAAAATGTTTAAAAGAGTGTGCTTACGACTGCTAAAAATAAAATTAAAATGGCGTGGCGATTAATAGCGAAACCGGTAAAGACAAACATCGTAACATAAATTTTCAATTGATAGAATTGAAAATGAATCAAATAGACCAAATAAAGAAGTCGCAGCGGTGTTTGAGAAATATTTTACTGATATTCCTATCGTGACAATTGAATTTGAACGTGAGTCATTGAATGCTTCAACTGTCACCGAGTCATTACTGAAACAGTATGTTAATACCTGTTTAAAAGAATTTAGATTTGAAAAAGTATTACTACAAGATATAAAATATTTCAAAATTTCAAAATTCTTGATGTAAAGAAAACCACAGATTTATGGGGGGAATTCTGTTACATTTATTGCATCCATAATACATTTCATTGCACCTCATTTTGCTATTTTATTTAATACAAGTATGGAATCTGGTATGTTTCCTGATTTAATGAAACATAGAAAAGTAATACCTTTATAAATAAGGGTGACAAACGAGTACATATTCCGCCTCATAGTCATCCCTGTGGACTAAAATGTAATGATCTCCTGTTGACTCACTCACCATACGAAACACAGCACAAGTAAGCTGCTACTTTACGCTGGTATGCCTTTAGAACATGTTCCCTCCGGTCGAGCCGACCCATTCGTGCTACAGCCTGCAATAATATAGCTGCAGCGTGGCTATACCACTTAAATAGTCAAAACCAAAAAAGAGCAAAATAATCAAGCAAAGCGATGGATGAGTCCCGGTTGCATTCCGAATGGAAATCTCGGGAGCCTTCGTATACGCTGATGATAGCCAACCTGGGGCTTATGTCGGTAGCGGTCCGGCATAACGCATACGCAGTGGAAGGTGACGCATATTATAATAATGAAAATGTCCCATAATCGCCTTTTACAACACCCACGGGAGGAATGGTGTGTAAATTCTCTTACGCCGTTACCACACAACATCATGTCATTCGTATCTTAACCTAATTCTACTAATATTTTCAACAGCTCTCCGTCTTCGATCGGGATGGGTGGGGCTTAGCTTGGGGACTAGTGACACTCTTCTTTTGGGTCTCTCTGCTCCAGCGGCTCCTCCTGCAGGCCATATTCTAGTTGGCCCAACTGCAGAAGCACCTTACATGGCTCTTTTGTGCTTCGCTAATGGCTCCTTAACAAGACGGAATCACAGAGACCGTCTTGTTGGAACGAGTTGGGATGCATTCGGTGAGCTGCTACGGGCCACAGTCAGGGGAAATATGGGGTATATGGGTAAGTTTAAATTCCTTTACAAATATGTTTTGATGTTTTACTGGAAATAGTTTGAGGAAACTTGGAGCTAGTTCGGACTATTTCCAGCCGCACAATTTGATCATTGCACATCGCGACAAAACTCGCGATACCATCTGCAATGGTGCGATTTAGAAGAAGTTTTCTTCCTCGCACAATTTACTTGTGGAATCGACTACCACCAGACATTTTCCTAGACCGATACGACTTAGGGACCTTCAAGAAAGCTTGCAAGAAGCCTACTCGTTTTTAAGAGGCCGGCAACGCATCTGCAATCCCCCTAGTGTTGCAGTTGTTCAGGGCAGCGGTAATCACTTACCATCAGGTGTGCCGTATGCTAGTTTGCCCCCTCTCTTATAAAAAAAGCGGTAGAAAAGTTGTAGAGAAACTGTGTATGTTTACATACCGCTAGATATTTTTGTTTAATTCTATATTTTTCCTAAAAGTAAATAAGATTTCCAATTTTTTTAACAGTTTACTGCTGTTTGCCGTTGTTATCAGGAAGATGGTACTGATCATCTCCTGTTTCAGTTTCCTTCTGTCGCCTCCAACGACACCCACGTGATGATATTGAGTAATGGATTCTCTTACACTGCTTCTATATGGTACGCAGATGGGCAGCAGCACCTTCATTATAAAATCTCTAACCATAAAAAATAAAAACGTAGTAGTCTACTCACATGCTTATCGCGGCAACTATGCTAAATCTTCCTATGACAAACAGGCAAAGGCAAACTATGATGGAGGCCTATTTTCTGCTGTGGACTTTTGATTTGAAAAAACGCTTATCTCTTGCGGGGTGTCTTTAAAGCAAGAGATAAGCGTTTTTTAAGTTAAGTTAGTGCGATCTACTACCTTTGGCTATATCACCACATACCTTGTGGTATAGCAGTTTGGCACTAGTTAAGACTGGCCACCGTGATTGAAATTCTCTGTCTATAAAAAAATCTGATCTGTAAAACATTATATCGACATACCACGTATTCGAACTATATGGTATGCATTGTTCTTAATACATACTAATCCAATAATAAAGTGAAATAATTTGTCAGCAGCATCTGTCTTTCCATCCGATTGAAATGTGCCGTGTGGTGCTGGCATGAGGGAATCCACTGACCCATATTATTCCTAAGGGTCTCATAAGTGGGGACAGAGACTGTAATCCTATTCTGCACATATGGCTAGTCTCAGTTAATACTGGCCTGGCAATTTTGTCTGGACGACGTTATTATTGTTCAGGTATTTACTTCGACACGGCGGAGATAGTCCCCCGGGCTGGTGCCGGTCAGTGGGTGGAGGACGGGTCCGGGCGAAAGGCAGAACGCCCAGCACCCCAGTTCGAAGCCCGCGCCCTGCTGGAAGGACAAGCGCTCGCCAGGAGAGCCCACGCTGAAGACATGCACTTCGCACTCGGTGAGTACATTTCTTCTCTAGGTGGTAGGACTAGGAGGTGCTGATGGTAATAGCTTTTTTTTATAGAATAAGGGTAGTAAACGAGCACACAGTCCGCCTGATGTTAAGTGAATGCTGTAGCCCATAGACATCTACATTTATCCTCAATTAAAAATCAAAATGCCGATGCGTTGTCAACCCTGTGAAATGAGATGGAATGCCTCGTTTCCAGTTAAAAAAAAAACCTAAATTTGTTAGGTAAATGTAAGGGGTTAATGGTTCTTTCTGAAATATTAGACATTTTTTTATTAATTAGAATAGAAATAAATAAAACTAACTTTGGATATACCTAAATGTATAATAATTAAAGAGTTAAAAGTGTGGAAACAGTTTAAGAGCAAACCACTGAGATATTGTTTTGTGTATTTACATACTCTAAAAATCGATAAACATTTAATCTAAAAAACAACTTCTCAATTACACCGTGTAACAAATAACTTCGGCTCAATCCCAACTAGCGACATCTGGTGAGCGGAAGATTGTGCCCTCATTAGTCTATTGCTGAGTTAGACCTCTTTTCTTTATTGTTACGAACATGTTACGATCGCGGCCCCTACCGGCCTTATATAGGACCTCTTCTACTGAAACATCTAGAATGTTCGAGTACATACCGGTTCCAACTGTAGTAGTGTAGTAAGTTCTAGTATGGAATTTACTAGAAAGCTCTCCTATTTCTGCTACTACTAGACACTAGGTGGCGCTAGTGGTAACTCGACATGTACCAGGCATTAATTATGGCGCGCAATATTATTATATATTTTTTTCTTTTTATAGAATTAGGGTTACAAACGACCACACAATCCACCTGATGGTAAGTGGATCCTGTGGCCATAGATATCTATTCATGCATCATGCCTCGATTCCAGTAAAAAGGGTGTCCGGTTCTCTGCACTCACCATTCGAAACATAGCAGCATTAAGCTGCTATTTGACGCTGGTATTTTGTGGGAGATACTAATAGAAGCAAACAAAAGATTTGGTTGCTACTATTAGTTACCTTTAGTACCTTTCTTTAATTTTCTTTATTTCTTCTTCATTTCTTCGACCATTACACAACATTAAAAAACAAAAATTCGTAGTTCAAATTGGTAATAATGTTGTTGAGTGATTTCATACAGGATCCCGCCTCAGTGATAATCTGCGGACAGCACTGGTTTTTAATCGGGAGCTTAAATAACTCACTAACAACCGGACATAGATATAAAAAAGAACTTAAAGTAATAAAAAAATTAAATCAAAGTAATTATTACATTAGACCAAGACGTTATACGTTTAGGTTTGTATAACCTCAAAAATCAATGCCTTTGTCTTGCATTTATTTATATTTTTAAGACCAAAAGCGATGGAAAGGACCCTTCGTATACGCTGTTTAACACGTTCATTGCCAAAGCTAAAATTGGAGTTTTCGGCTGGTGGCCCAAAACTATGAAATAACTCTTAAGTACAGCAAATACTATTTGCGGGTGTGTTTATGGTTTTAGTATATATATTTAATATTTTACATAATATAGTTATATATCAGTCGACGTCGCGTGATGGGCCATGTGAAGTGTACATTTATCCTTAGGGGCCCCATCACGCGACGTCGAGTTTTGGGATACCTTAGTTAGCACTTTTGTGCAATTATGAGTTCAAATGTAATAAAATTAAATATTTTTTGTATCAATAATTTTTATTTGAATTATATAACACAAAAAATAACATAATATCGAAAAAAACTTCTAAATATTTTAGGCATCGAAGTCTACAATTATAATGAACAGCAACTTTAGGAAAGAACTACTATAATAACTTTACTATATTAGGATAACAATCAGGAACATATATTTCTAATCAGTCTTAGTAAATAAATCAGATCTAAAGGTTTATCAAAACATAAATAATATTTGGTAAATTAGTTTTTGGTACAAGTATGTAACATAAAAAAAACAGTCCATGCACATAGGCGGACTATCAGGACAATCCTTACATTCCATCGTAGTCGGCACTAGTTTTTTTATTTTTGTAGCAATTTCTGCAATCTTTTCTTGCAACTGCTTACACTTTTCTTTCTGGCCCCGTTTTTATTATCCGTTCCGTCGTTTTGAATATTTTCGTCAACTTATGACTTTGTTGACTTCGATTTCCCGATGAGGATTCAGGTATTTGTGGATTTTCAGGTAAAAAAATTTCAATGATTTTCTCCCTAAAGTCGTATAATGAAAGCTTAGGTTTTCCAGAGAACTTGTTATATAATAAACGAGAATTTACCAAACTCATCATCATTGTATGTATAAAATTTTTTAAGTACCAGCGTAAAGTTTTTCTTTCGCATGGGTAATATGAAATCATTTGATCTTGAAGATCAACTCTTGACATGCTTTCGTTATAACGTACTATAGCCAATGACTTCAGTGTTGTAATACCACGTTTACTGGTAACTTCTTGCATCCCGTCAGCGAACTCTGTCGACATATAATGGATTTTTCTTTTATCTTTCCATTTACCAATACGGACTCCATTTCTATACCGTCATGTGGCATATCTGACTCTTCAATCGTTTCATTCAACTCCTCCCTTTCTGCAGATGAAAATCGAATTTCATTAGGTGGTAGCGGTGATATAACTCCTTCATCTTCTTCCGACTCCAGGGTTGAGCTGTCTCCATCATCATCACCCAATAAAAAATCTTCATCTTCATCACTTCCCACAAAATCATCCTCATCAGAGTTTCAAAGGCAAAGGTATCTCGTTTGATCGTTTCGTACCCCTAGAGGTACCAGGTTGATGATCACTCATTATAAATTTTGATTTATTATAATTATTATCACTTTATACTACAAAAAATACGTATTATTTGTTCACAACTAACTAAAAACAAACAAGAAAGCCGTCCGGCTCGAGCGGCGACGCTAAGCGAACTAACCAATTACGTAGCACTAAAACTATCGCATGATTCGGATGGCCACGCCCACTTTACGATAGCTCAGTCCTTTTTCTAGAGGCCCATAAAAAACACCGTTGCGATAACGCACCGGCCCAGGCAATACGCTTCATACGAAACTCGTCGGACATTTCACGAGACGTCGCGTGAAGGGCCAAATTGAAGAGTACTGGGAATACGCGACGTCGCGTGATTGGCAATTAACGTGTTAAGCTGGTAAAGATCCAGCATAATCTTTTCGTTACCCCCGCAGCGGAAGGTATCCATGATAATTTCCCTACGATAAAAAAAGGACTCCATTTCTGCCTAGGAGTCCAATTGAGTATGTACCGCCATCTTGTCGTGCATAGGACTCCCCCATAGATTGTATCATAGAGGGGATATTTGCTATAATGATTTTGTTATATTTACGCGAATACTACACATGAAAAAAATACTAATATTACGGATTTTGTCGCGTTTAATTTTTACTTTTATTGAAATAATTCTGCGTAGATTTTTTACGTGATAAAACCACACTGCAGCTATATTAATAATATAGTTATATCACGAATATGTCGGCTTGACCATAGAATGACCACATTCTCACAGAATACCAGCGTAAAATAGCAGCTTAATGCTGCCGTGTTTCGTATAGTGAGTGTAGCGAACCGGAGACCCTTTTTACTGGAAATAAGGCATTCCATTTTAGTTTACAACGCATTTGCATTTTGATTCGTAATCGAGGATAGATGTAGATATCTATGGGCCACAGTAACCACTTACCATCAGGTGGACTGTGTGCTCGTTTGTCACCGTTCTCCTGTAAAAAAAAGTAGATCGGACCAAAAAGGTGCCCGAAACGTCGGGAATTAAAAGAAGTTAAAATTATACGCAATGAAATCCGTATTATTTGTCTTATTCCATTTTTGCCATAGCTACTACGCTTGACTCTCGGGTTTTGATCCGCCAGTGTTTTTTATTTTTTAATTTTATTAGGAAGATCCCCTCTGTCGCCTCTTACGACACCCACGGGACGGTATTAGGTATTGGCTATTCTTACACCGCCACTACAAACTGTATTTCTATTAGTGAGAACCTATAAGGCCAACTTACTTAATATTTTAAAGCTGTTGGTTTTCCATATTATAGAAATAAAGTAATATGATATGCGAACTAACAGACTCTTCGTCTCGACTGATCGCCACCGGCGGTGCGTCGGTGAATAAAGAACTGTTGCAGATCTTCGCTGACGTCTTCAACGCGCCAGTCTATGTGCAAGTACGTATCGTTCAAATTTTTTTTACCTCTTTACTGGTATTGAGGCATGCAAACTTGAAAACACTTCTGCGATTTGTGGTGATTTAATGATGATTTCAAGCGGCCCACCCACGTGGCACCCCGACAGAAGAGCAATTTGAATTAGATTAAACATTCTACACTGTAATCAAACATGTTTTGATTCTATTTAATGATATTCTATCTAATATATTTTTCAATCCAATAACCACAATATACGAAGTCGCGAGTGAAAGGCTAGTTCAAAAATAAAACAATAAGCCTAGTACTTTCGTGCACGAGTGTAACCTTGCGCAAGCACATCCCCTCCACTTTCTTCCAGCGTTCTTTTTACGTGACGCTTAGTATATAGATTTGTGGCTTCATTCACATGCCATGTTCCAGGAACAACACGCCAATGCAGCGTTACTCGGTGCTGCGATTCGTGCAGCCGAAGTATGGAGTTCCCTAGCCGAAGTCAAATTGTTGGGTGAGTTTTCTTTTTTAATATTTTTTAAGAGACGCTAGATTTATACAAGGAAACTTTGTACGATGCCGCTCAAATTTGACATATCATTCATATAAAGAATGCCGTAAAGCACGGTCTTGAGCCACCTGCATCGGTCAACTTTTTTATATAACTGTAGCGATAAACGTACTTACGGCTGATTTACACTTCGACAAGTACATTAGCGAGTTTAGTTACAGGGCATCAACTGCCCTAGTAAACGGTTAAGTGTACAGTGGCGTTCAAATATCTTCGTGGCGAGTTTAGTTAAAAAAGTACAATTTTATATTTTGAGTGTCGAACGCGAACACGTTGCGTCCTGTCAACTTACGCGCTGAACTAAAGTCGCTCGTTCACAGGCGCGGTGAGTTTGGTTGCGAGTGGCGGGAGGGCATCACTTCGAACTTAACTCGCCGAAGAATAGACCGGCCAGCTGTACCATTCAACTTAATTGTTAACTTGCTACTTAAATCACTAATTGCCGTTCAAACGAAGTTCAACTTCACCCGCCAGGTTCGCAAGTTAACTCGCTACTGTACTTGTCGAAGTGTAAATCTGTCTTAAGAGACTACTACAGCCATAAACACTGCAACCAACTTCAAACAAAGAAGGCGTGTCAACAAAGAAGCAGATGCACTGTCGTCCCTGAGGACTAAAGTAGAATGCTTATAGAAACTTCCTGCACATCTCGCGATATTTTTTATAATGTCTAATTATTTCGACAGGTTCAGAGCCAACCCTAACACCAGTAGCCACTCCGTATCCAGACAGCGAAAAAATTTACACTCCAATGTTGGCACGTTACCGCCAAATGATCGAGAACATTCCTAAACTATAGTAGAATCAACATTCATTCACTTTTATAATAATGCTTTACCAAATAATGCACTTAATGCCTAAAACCTTTATCCACAAGCAATAAGGTTGATTTTGCTTATCACAATCTGGTATCTGATTTTTCTGTCCAAAAATTATTTGCTTAAACAATTTACTGTAAAAGGGATGAAAATTGACGATATTTAATAAAAATTGTAAAACTTATATGTGATAATTGTAATGATCTAACTTAATTATAGCTAGCCGGTTAGATAAACTAGGTAAATAATGATTTTTTGTATAGATATTGCAATATTTTCTCTTTTTTATTATTTTTATAAAGAAATATCTATAGCAATACTCTCAAAAGTTACTAATAATCCCAATATAAAGTCAATTCAAAAAGATCTTATTTATATAGATATAAAAAGATCTTACCATTCCCTTTTTTTCAATAATTTTTAATAACCAATTATATTATTTCATTTTTTAGCTTGTTGCTATGTTGAAGATCAGTTTGTTGTTTTTAAAGCATTTATTTATTGTAATTTTAATATCTATAATATTTTATATTTGTTAACTATTTTTAAGACTGCAAAGTTTTATAAAATTATCTCAACATAAATATTTTATACAATATTATTGATAAATTGGCCTTTTTTACGACGTTTTATTAACTCGCCGTCGTATCTGTTCATGATGATTTTAGTTATAGAATACTGTAATACACAATAGAACGGCTATCAACTTTGTTTTATACGAGGATCGGCGTCGCCAAACCTGTTTCGCTGTGTTGACAGACTGAGTAAATTTACACATTTTAGACTTTTGATTAATGTTCAAGATCATCATTAAATTTTAATACATATTTATTTGTAAATAGGGTGCAATTTGGCATTTTCTAAATAATTTGCATGCGAAATTTGGAAACAGTTGTAACGTCAAAACACATCTCATGTTCACAGTTATACGTGTGAATTGACGTGATAGTGACATTTTAGTGGCTACACGGGCTCCGCCCACTCCCACGTTCTATTATGTATTATATATTCTATGATTGTAGTAATTGATTTTAAACAAATTAAGAGCAAAAACCATGTTAAACTACCCGAGAAGGATCAAAGGAGGCTGGCATTGCAGTCATAATTTAGAGTTTCATTTATTAATCATCACTAAAGGCATCTGCCATTATTTCTACTTACGCTACACTCATTTTGATCTATGTTCCACTTGTAGTAGTTATTTAAAGTAATAACTTAACTCATTGAAGTACATAATAGATTGACGTACAATTTGGCCAAAACAATAGGCGCATGACACAAATGCGGTTTCGGCGCCTGCACCCTGCTTCTATTCCCGCGCTTCCCCTACTGGCCAATCACGATTCCGGTTCGCCGGTAATTGTTTTGGTCACGTAGTATCCTTAGTGTGGAGGGGGCTTAACTTGTTGAAACTAATGAACTTGCATATCAACACGCTATGCAATTAATCCAAGTCCAAGGTGCTATTACGAAAAGAAGATGATTTTTTTTATTTGTAACATTCCATGATATTTATTGATAACTATGTTATACACTTTACATTTATTCACACATTTTAATAAATAATAAGAAAAGCCCTTGTGTTTATGTTTTATATTAGCGAACTGCCCCGGATTCACTATTATCGATTTTTCGTATTTAAAAGAAAATTCAAGTTTTTTAGATAAAATATAGCCTAGATTCCTCCTGGCATTGCTTTCTATGTGCAGCTAAAGTTCCATCACCAGTGCACGCACGGTTAGCTGCGGGAATCGTAGTCAAATAAAATTATTTTGATAATTCGAAAGATTGAATTTGTTTTTGATTTATTTATACCTCAAAAATATACTTAGATACATAGAGTAATTAGACTTAGATACGAAATACGAATACCTACTCTAGAGACTGCTTGGCACTGGAAGCCCTCCACTGGCAGTGAGATGTTGGCTGTGGACTTTGGGCTGGTTTTGTCAGTTATGATAAAACCTTACCTCGGGACTTGATGGAGTGACCTGAAAGTGTAGTTCGGTGACTACTACGGGAACTCCTGGACGAGTAAGAACCAAGTGCGCCGAGCTTGGGCTCGTTTTATTAGTTGTGATGATGAGACCTTACCTCCGGTCTTGATGGAGTGACCTAATATATTGTGTATGTACAGCGATCTTTTTAGCATGAGCCGCTGTAAACAGGCGATACAGTTACCACTCACGACGGCGGCCGAGCGCGGACTGTGGTTCCATCGAAATCTTTGTAACAATAAATCAAAACAGGTTTCAAAAATAAAATAGCCCTTATTGCAATATATTATGATACATCCGTATTGGCAAATAATGTGAAAAAAATATGCATGTTTTAATTTTTTCTACGACTATTTGTGACGTTTTGATAAAAATATGTACACTGTTTTTTTATTGAATATGTCTTACAAATAAATTCTCTTTAAAATACGTTGATAATAGACCAAACATGTACCGAAACTCGAGCCGGTATCGTTAAATTTGTAGTAAATGGCAACAGATGTTCCTTTTTGCAGTATAAAAAACTATTATTTTTAACAAAAGTGTCAATACCATTTGAAGATGATGATGAGAACCAATCTATACATGGTAGTTTTTACTTATTATATTTGATTTGGTTTAGTTAATTCACAAAATGTGCAAAACAGCATAATTTTGCTCGATTTGCAAACGCGTCCTTAATAGCGTGCTAATAACCATTAGCTTAATAAAAACAAGTTATTTCAATATTACAGATAGAAAATTCAATTTTATTCATATGCAGATATGGATTAAAGTTTGTACTAGCTGCTCAACTATGTACTATTGATATTATTATTCAAGAACATCTTCATGTCCTATTTTCATATACAAGGGGCGTTCAATGTATTCTCGGTACTAGGGCGTTTTACTAATAATGTGGGTAATTAAAAAACTCATTAGCTAACGGAACTACCTATGGGTATAAATATGAAATTTCGTCTTGATAACTTCATTACTTTTATGGAGTGTAGAAGTAAGGAGTACAGACTGTGTATTAAAAAGTGTCCATAGAAAACAGTTAAATAAAGGTGGCGCCACTATAACTACGGGGTGAATTTTAAAGAACGCATCGAAAAATATTAGTGGGATAGACAACTTTTTTCGAGGTTATATTTACTAAATAAAATTATTTTAGTTGGAGCTACTGAGCAGTTTAGCAGCACACTTCAAACCGTCGACAACATAAGTTCATTTCATCCCAGTAGCTACTGCAGCGCTGTTGTGGAGAGTTTTTGAACTGTTATTTACTGCTTACAGATGGCCACTTTTTCAACTATTCTACTATGGGAGTTGGTACTCCTTACTTCTACACTCCATAATTACTTCTTATGTAACCTTCAGTCATAGACGACGGTAATGACGGAAATGAACACCGTGTTGTGATAAAATTCCTCACTAAACAAACTCAAACTTCATAACTACTTATCTTATTTGCTCCCTATGAGAATAATACCATATAAAAATGTAACCAATATCCACACTTTAATCCCTGCAAATCTTTAGACGAGATATTAATACAAAAACCCAGTGTTAATAATAGCGACGTTGATGTTTTTACTTGACTATACTGTACAAAAAGGATAGAGATTCAAGTGTAAACTACCGCAAGATAGGCAGGATGGGCCCCATATACGGAATCATACTTCGTTACGATCAATCTGAAAAAATATCGTGACGATAAATCGCTCAAAGCTTACCGCTCACACACGAAACGATTGGTCGTTGCGATCGATCATTTACTTGTTTGAAACGGAACGACAAAGAGGCGCAAATCACAGACAGAAATTCGAATAATTAATTACTTGCCATACTTTAAAATATAAAATGAGCATCTTTTTCATGCCCATTTGGCAGTCGGCTGCATAAAAAAGGACGTACAAAAGTTTGGGTTAAAAAGTAGCTGTTTAAACGATATCAATATTCGCATATAAATATTTTAAAGGAATTGAGGTTCCGCCCAAAAGACTGGCACAATTTTTTTATAGCATAGAGTGACAAACGTCCATACAGTTCACCTGATGGTAAGTGAATGCTGTGGCCCATAGATATCCACATTTATCCTCAATTGAGAATCAAAATGCAAATGCGTTGTCACCCCCGACGAATAAGATGGAATGCCTCTATTCCAGTAAAAGGGGTCTCCGGTTCTCTACACTCACCATACAAAACACAGCAGCATTAAGCTACTATTTTACGCTAATATTCTTTGAGAGCGTGATCCTACCCCGGTCGAGCCGACCCATTCGTGCTACAACTATAATTTAACTGCAGCGTGGCTCAACCATTTATAAAAACAATTAGGTACGTGAGAATGACAGAATCGACATCCGACGAGTCGATTTATCGTTACGATATTAAAAGATTGCCCCGGTTTTTGTTGCAATCTCTGATGTTGTCTGCGATCAAGTAAATCACTAACGATCGTAACATACACTACAGATCAGTCTGAACCGACGGATCGTACCGTATATAAGAGCCCTTTAAAGAGTTACACTTCTTAAAGGTACAATCTAGGTTAAACATGTGTTCCAACTCTTTTAACATAATATTTATTTATTTTGGAAATTTATCTTTAGTTTTGTACTTGTATTTGATCTAATAACAGCGCATCTACTAGGTGCTAAATAAACTAATGATGTTACTGATAAAATTAAATAATAGAGGCTACTTATTCGTTTAGAATCAAAACTTTAAATACCCAGACCGGTGGTCATCATCGTGATGATTTACTGCAATTACCACGTTTGGCAAAATGACTAACGATACTGTTATATTTAATACCGTTTACAGAAAACTGTTATTATGAGGGAAGCTCTTTAGTTGAATATATTGGCGTAATAGTGTTCTGTGATATTGGCTATCTAATTTACAAGACTACTATTATATATACTGTTTTGAGTTTGACTAAGAACCAAATCAACTATTTTGAAATAATTTATAAACCTAGTAACAATGGAGTTTTCATTTATTGTATGATAATTGATAACACCTGTATTGTATTATGCATGGAAATTAAACAAACATTTAAATAAACTTCTTTATTCATATGCTATACAAGTGAAACTATTATGGAGTGGTAAAGATAAAAATCAGAATTACTTCTTACGACCGCCTCGTTCCTTCACCTGCAAATGTATGACTGCTCCAGGAGGTACATTGTAGTACGCCAACGAGTTGGTGTCTTTGAAAAACAGTCCCTGTAAAGAGCAATGTTACATTTTATATCACTGTGGCAAACGTAACTTTATTAATATTCAATAATAGATCAGACATCAACAACTTTGATGGAAGTAGGTCTTTTTAAAAATGCGCCAGTGCAACGTAAAAATTTAAAGGTTTGTTAATTTACACCTAGCTGTGATAGGCAGGTTGTTGGGTGCACTGGTAACGGTTATGAATATGTGTGTGCTGATACATACGAGATTGTTATATTGACACCTATAAGTGGTCCTATGTATGTTTATTTGGATTTTTCACATGTCGTACCCTGGTTGACGTAAGAGGACTCTCTTACGCCAACCAGGGGACGACATAGGTAATGGAATTTCTTACACCGCCAACACAACGAAATATTATTTGCATTATCATACTTTAAATAGTAAATTCTTTTAAGTATGACATACAAATGTATACGAATTGGTTTCTCGGAAATAGTTTTAGCGGACTGCATAAGGCTCTCCTAGGTGTACGTTGTTTGTGATTAGCAGTGGCCACATATAGCTTGCCGGTACAACATATTCCGCCGAACGTTGAGTCCGCTCCGTAAGGCGTCAAGGTCACCGGCCCCTAGGCAGAACCTTAGGCACACAAGCGCGCTCTGAGCCTTGTGTGTTGATGCGTGCTCAAGTGCTACCAAGCACTTCCCCAAACCTTTCGTGCTGAAAGGGAGAAAACAGTCCCACCCACTGCACCTCTCGCGTCTCACGTCGTCTCACCGCATTTCGTCGGCTCGTTAGGTCGTATATAGATAGGATCATTTCTTGATTACCTGAACAGTTACAATGTCAGACAAAGGGAACTCACGCCGCGCTAGAAAACCCCTGGATCGACCAGGAATACGGACATGCTCCTGCTGGCGAGGAAGCTGCACCACCCGGAACGATAAAAAAACCAGCATCACCGCACCCTCTGCACGCGTACAGTGAGAGTGGACGGGAACAGACGCCCCAACCGCAAAGGGTGAAAAAGTCGGCGAGGAGGCATACACCACTGGAGACCGAAGCCTCACTCTTCTAAAAGAGGCGGTGCATCGGCTCCCCTATTTCAACACGACACAACACATTTTCCGAAGATGAAGATACCTCACCTGTAAGCAGCTACAGGGTATGTGTACCCCACCAAAATCTCTAACACCACCAGGACCATACTCCTCCACCTAACCGAACTTCCGCAGCAACGTAGATGCGGCAGAGCTTAAACAAGGAGAGCAAGAATCGCAGGGTTGGGAGTCGACAACAAACGCGACCCTAGCGCCATCTGCCGGGCGATTATCGTCCGCGCTCATTACCAACCCGCCAGGACTACTATCGAACGATGGTCAAAAGCCTTCGACAAGTTACGTACAACTGGCAGCAGCACCAACAGTGCCAAGACCCAAGGTGGCTAAAGAGCCCGAACTTATGAAGGAGGCTGAGAAGCACTGTGCGCCCAACATTGCGGAGTGTCTCTCGGAATGGACGCAGCAGTTTGAGGTACTCAACCAGAAGTTGGGCCACCCACCTAATGCCCGCAATTTCGAGAAGGGGGTGCGATTCACCCCCAGTCCCGAAGAATTTGGAACTACCTTATGATATATGATCGAAAACTGAAAAAATACCAGTCATGTCCTGGTACTGCTACACCCCGGAAGAGAAGCCTACTAAAGTGGGCATCCGGAGGTTGCCAGTTGACACCGATCCCACCGCAGTAGGGGAGGCTATCCGGGCATTAGGATTTCCTATTCGTTACGTAAAGGCAATACAGGGGGCTGTAGAGGTAGACCAGGATGCCTCTACTTTGCGCAACTAAACCACCTAAACCTGGAGCAGCTAAACGAAATTTATAAAATCGACGTTCTCCTCTACATGAGAGGGGTTGTCATAGAAGCCTGGGAAGAACGTGCGTGTGTAGAGGGAAGGGTAGGCAACCAACCCCCCCCCCTCCCAACCATAACACCTACAGAAACCGTGGAACCCACATCAACCAGAGCAACCAACGGAGCGACTCCAGCCCCACTGGGCTACAAAGACCACAATGGGTAGAGCTCCAGAAAGGGTTCTATGAGAAAATAGAGCCCGCTCTACAACTAGGGCACCATACGTACGTACTAGAGTACCATAGACGAGATACCAAAGCTCAGCCGAGACCAGAGGCAACCATTCAACAGAGAGTACCAACAATCGGACAATACAGCTGATGCCGTACAAAGACTTGTAGGCAGCGCTATTGAGGTCGGCAGCCAGGTCCTGGACGACATTCAGGTTGGGACAGATCCAATAACTGCCATTATGAAAACACTGGTGCAGTTAATGGCTCGGCATTACAAGAGCGAGTTACCTGCGCTTACTCTACTAGAACCCGGACAGTCGCCCAACAACAGGACATTCAAGTAATCTTGCTGGGAGAGACTAAGTTGAGATCATCGCCACATCCGAAGATGCCTATCACATCTACAGGCGGGACGAGGTTAATCTTCAGGGAATCGTCTATAGACCACGGCAGTTCTAGTGAGGAGAGACATCGTCCATCAAGACGTAGACCTGCGACTACCTATCGATGCGCTCTATCGGCATTAAAATGGAGGACTAAGAATCTTAACATACCGCCTGCGAGGGACTCCATTCGGCTCCTCAGACATCCGGACGGTAATGGAAGGCGTAGCACCTACCATCGTCGCGGGGGACCTAAACGCGAAACACCCGGCCTGGGGATCCAGAGTGATCAACCCAGCGGGTCATGATCTTTACGATGACGCCGAGAACAACGGCTACGGAGTTTTGGGTCCCGAATAACCAACGCACGTCCCTACGGACCTCCCTAAATGTCCGGATGTATTGGACATCGTGCTCTCTAGGAACGTCAACTGCCCGATAGAGGTGTAGGTGCTGTACTACTTGACTTCTCAGCACCTCCCGATTTTGAGGCCAAGGGTAATCCCTTGGCCTCAAGGCGGTGACTAAGCTGCCCAGGGCTTTTAAGACTAAGATCAACTGGAGGCTCTACCAACGGCGGAACAACACGTATTCAGGTGGGATCACTCCACAGCCAGACATCTGAGCAGGTTGCTGCACTACCTTGCGGCCAAGCATAAGCTTTTCATTCTCGACGTAGAGAAGGCGTTCAACAGGGTGTGGCACTCTGGATTACTCTATAAAAAGCACAAACAAGTAACGCATCTGTTATGTTGCGGCTAGTGGCGTCATCTTGCAGATAGGAAGTTCTACGTCTGTGTAGAGGACGCAGTCTGCAGCCGGCGTGCCACAAGGCAGCTGTCTATCGCCAATCCTGTACGCGGTTTTCACCAATGGCATCCCAACCCTGGCAAGATATCTGCGCTAATGGGAGGACGATATAGAGCTGCCTCTATATGCAGACGATAGCGCATACTTCACACCGTCCAGAAGAGCCCATATCGCCGTTGCCAGGATGCAGCGTCTGCTGGACCTGTTGCCATCTTGGCTGGACAAGAGGAAGATGGCCGTCCAATGGCTTCCACCGTTGGCAACACGACCGCTCTGCTCACCCGAAGGCCATGACCTACCTTGGATACCGGATCGACAAAATGCTGCGCATGACCTGATGTACTGGCATCCAAGTTAATGCTGAAGACCAAACTGAAACTATACAAGCTCTGCATAAGACCGAAGCTCCGAGACCAGCTGTGCAGCAAAGCACAAGCAGATGACAATGTATAACTGAAAATAATTGGATGCAATTTTGTATTTAGATTATGGAGGCTTCTTCGGTTCCTATGGCGCCACGATTTGAGCAGGTGCTATGATTAAATATATAACACAATAAATAAATGTTAATTTACAATCCATCCAAATCCAATAATTTACTTTCATCCATCCATCCAAATCCAAATCCAATAATTTACATCATAACTTTTTAACTACTTCAACCTGATAAGTCATAAAAAATATAATTTGGCACATTCTATATATTCTTCGACCATTTACAAAAAATACTTTAAAAAATCGAGTTAATACAATATGCAAAATAATAGTTCAAATTTAACTTTTTTTTTTTAATTATGATGACTAGCATTCCACAATGCAGTAAAGGCACAAAAAAGAAAGAGTTCTTCGACATAGTAACTACCTGTTTCTGAATATTGTAAATGTAAAATGGGAGGGTAGATATATAAGTGTTTACCTCATAATGCAGCTTCTGTTTGGCCGTGGGCATATTAGTGGCACGTTGTAGCAATGCCTTTAGTTCACCAGCAGTGGTGGAGAGTGTTATGTTGAGAGGAAGCATGCGTCCATCCAGTCGCCACTCCGAGCGTTCCGGAACTGAAGGTATAGACACCTAGAAGAACGAAATAATGAAAGGTTTAATTGACACCTACAAATTTAGAAATGCTATCTTGACATAGCATAGTATAGATATTAGAAAGGTGAAAATTTTATGGAAAATTTAACACTATTATAAATTATTTAAACAATATTTTAAAGCAGGATATTAATTTTTTTTTCTAATTAATTGGTTTCAAAAATATTTACATTTTCCTAAATGATAACAACCACAGTGATAACTTTAAAAATTATGAGGAAGTGCTATGCAGGATAGTGTCATTTTTTTCATCTATACTTAACCCTAACTTGTCTAATGTCCATATGTAAACTAAAGTTCGTGCTTCTGTACAAATATTGACCTCAATGGGAGTGGGAGTGAAATTGACTTCTGAACTATGTAATAGTAAATGAGGCAGCTACGAATAAAAAAGCGTTGTAAGCCCTTATATATAAAAAATGAATAATTACTAATGGTTATATTGTAAATTTAGATTAAATCTAATTCTATTCATTTGTATTAAATAAGTTGTTGGGAAACTTAGGTTTACTATTTAAAAAAAAATTATTAATATAAGTAGGAATAGTTTAGTCCAGCAATTACCGGCCAAATGTACAGAGAAGGTTTGGAATAAGTAACATAGGAAAATGGTGAAGAAACATTAATTAAAAAGAATTTCAAATCCCACATACATACAAAAAGCAATACATATTTTTTGATAAACAACAAACCTGAAGAGGTGCAGAACCGGGATGTCGGGCAAGCCAAGTGGTCTCAGGCTCCAAGGCATCTTCCGTACGAGGCCGCTTCGACGCCGGCTCCTCCACCTCTTCAGGAACGGGCGGCGGCGCTACCGGCGCGAACCCGAACGGAGTCCCCACCGGCGTGGGGATGAGCGGCGGGCGCGGGGCCAGCGGCGGGATCACCATCAGCGGCGGGATGGGCTGCAGCAGCACTGGCGCCGGCGGACGCGGCGCGGGGGGGCGCGGGCAGCGCGGGCGGCGCGCTCGGCGGAGGCGGTCGCGGCTGCGAGCGAGCCGCACTCGCCGCCGACACCGGCTTCGGACCAATTTTCTCCTTCTCCTCGTCCGGGAGTAAACCTTTGACCTAGAATAATAGTTTCATTACAACTATTGTTGTTCTAAGCTTCTATTAACAATATAAACAAGATAATTGATCACATCAGAATCTAACGCGAGATGTTATTATAGTATTACAATGACAAACAAGATAAAATACATTAAATAAAACTGATTGAAGAGATTTTATCGCATTTAATTTGACTTCTGTGATTAACGTACGACGTTTCAGTACTCCCCCCCCCCCTCTCATGACGACGGGCATAGTAAAAACAGAATAGTAGGATAACTCCCTCAACGCGCGAGACTTAAATACCTACTGTTGCAGGGTTGTCACTATGCACATAAGTCTAGTTTAGTTTTATATGTAGTTTATAATATTTATAACCACAATACATACGGATACGTACCATATTTGTTAATCATTTCTTTAGTTTCCTCTCAAAAAATCAATGTTTGTCAAAAGAAATTCCAGCTTTACATTACAACAAATGCCAAATAACTAAAATACGAGTAAATTAACACTTATCATACGGTGTCAGCTCAGATTTAATGTTTAAAATTAATTTGATGTGATGTGATATGATAATTAATGTATTTATGAAGTATGAACATATTTATGTATAAGTACAATAATATTTACCTACCTAACCTATTAATAAAAAGCTAATTTACTTAAACAAACCCATATATATATATATATTTTTACAAAAAGAAAAAATATAACGAAAAAAGACTGCTAGCAAAATTTTATTAAAAGTCAACAAAGTCTTAAACAAAGGTGATTGCGGAGCGCGGCAGTGGCTGTCCCCGACTCGGCCAGACCTTTCCAAATTAGCAAGTGTCGTTGCGTGCGTGCTGTGGCTCGTGTGTACTGGCACGTGAACGGCACGCACACATATTAGCGGCGATCGGTACATTTCTTAGAAGATAGCCTACTATTCCGTTTTTACTATGCCATGGGTGCTGCAAAGCACCCGAAAAGTCAGAAATTCAATAGTCCAATTAAACGCGAAAAAAATCGTTAAATTAGTTTCATTTAATGTGTAGTATTCGCGTAAATATAAGAAATCATTAAGATTTCATTTTAATCTTTTTTCATGAAAATGATCACTGTCATGTATGTAAATGATCACCGTCGCCCAAGAACTTCTACAATTACCAAGTGAACACAAGGTGCCTTGCCAGCCATTTAGAAATGAGTAGGATCTTTTCTTGAAGATCCCCAAGGCGTATCGGTCCGCAAAACCACTGATGACAGTAAATTCACTTACCATCAGGTGGACTGCGTGCTTGTTTGTCACCCTTATCCCATAAAAGGAAACCTACAATTTAATGTGTCACTTGGGCAATTGTACTCACTTTGTGTATTTGCTGGATCTGATCTTCCAGTGTGATGTGAGCCCTGGCGGCCCGCGTGGCGGCCTCAACGCTACTCGTATGTCCATCCCATGTGACACGTTCGTCACGGCGGCGTTCCTCCTCGCCAATTTTTTTACCGATGGCCGTTTCTTCGTCACCCACACCGAAGATATCTGTACGACGCTCAGCCAACTGGAAGCATAATAGATATTTAGCAACATTGTAAAAAGAATCTATAGAAAGAAATGCATAGCCATAAACGTCACCTGCTTAAGTGATGCTTCAATAGCAGCACCAGGCGCTAGAGCCTCATCGCGATCGGTTCGTTCCGCCGCAGCCCGGTCACGTTGCTCCAACCAGCGAGGATCGAGCAACCCGATACGAACGTGGTCTGCCACTTTGTTAGCCGGGATTTTCTCGCCAGTGATTGGAGAGACCAACCATTCTTCACTAGTCGGCGCAGGCTGAGGTCGAGCCCGCTTTGGATCGTATTTCTTGACCACCACCCGATCTGGACGTGGTGGCAGTGGCGCCTCTTCAGGCTGTTTGGGCGGTTCCGGTGGTGTTTCGTCTTCCGAAGAAGAACTGTCTTCTTCCATGTCCTGTACTCTATTATCGTCAGGTCTCTGTTGCTGCTGAGTTCTGTCCTCCATCTCAGCCAAATCTTCGTCCGACTCAGATTCCGATTCTGATTCCAATTGCATCTCTGTATCGTCCTCTTCATTGGCGTGTGTAATGTCTTCTCCCCTTTCCTCCGCCAAAACTCTTGCGCCGACTTCTAAAGGTGTGGTGGGTGGTGGGAAGTCACCAGGTTCACCAGCTGGGTAGTCAACAGTTTCTACTACGACAAAGTCATGCCAATCAATAGAAGCATATGCCAATCTTTCTTTCTCTATGCGGGCTTCGTCTGCTGCTTTGCGTCTAGCTTGGTGGGAATGCCAAGCGGCTCGACTACGCGCCTGTTCCAAAACACCGCTCCTTACTTCTGCAGTCAATTTGGAGACTAATTCTTTTGGAGGTAGCAGCACTTTGGTATACTGTTCCAGAAGTCGAGTGAAGTACTGGAAGAGAGAGTGCTGAGGTCGTAGGAAATCGAACTGGTGATTACGCTCTTCTTTCTTCATCAAATCGGTTAAAAACTGTCGGCCGTTACGAGCAACAAATTGTGCTGTTAGTTTAACAATATCTAACTCCAAAGCGGAAATCGATGGTGGGTCAGCGATAAACTCAAAATCTGGTGGGGGGTCACGTGGTGGTGGGGGTTCAGCAGGGGCTGCGGCTTTAAGAAGTTCCTGCTGTCGAGCTGCAGTAGCTGGGGCAAGACCTGGGCGTTGTAATGGAGGTCCTGGAGGAGCTGGTGCTGAAGGATCTGGTCCTGATAGAAATATAAGATATGGTCAATTTATAAAATTACTTTGTAGAAATTATTTTCCTTCATGATTTATTCAATTTTTTTTAAATATTACTAAAATAAATATTATATGAAAATAAAATTACTAAAAATAATATCTTTGTCAAATAAACAATATACTAACCTTTTCCTTCTCTTATCTCCTTAACTTTATGCTGGTAATATGCATGGTATGGGTCACCAGAGTTCAGAAAATTAAACTTAGGGTTGCCCAGTTCATTTTGACGAATACGAGCTTCAAACTCCGGTCCATTACGTGCCACAAAACTAGCAGTCTTGTCAACAATATCTAGGAATATGGTTAAAGAAATATTTGGTGTGTCACAATATTACTGTTAAAAATTTATTATCATCAGTTTTTAGTAGAATTAAAAAATCCTGAAAGCATAATATGACAATGAAATGTCTGCCCCCACAATACAAGAGAAAATCTTAGTGTAGGGATAACGTTTAAAAAAAAAAAGAATGTTAGCAATATTATGTAAAAAGATAATAGAGAAGTAATAAAAGAAGACGAGGGAAAACAGAAGGGTAACCTAATGTACACAAAGGTTAGTTGAGTCACCTGTATCTACATCCTTATCATCAAGTCAGCCTTTCACAAGTCCATTGTTGAATGTAGGCTTCCACCAAGTAAAACCACAAAACAAGTACACCTTGTATCAATCTATTACTAAATTTCGGCTTTGTCTCAGTTGATCTGTATTTACTATTGTGGTATTAGTATACACAGTATATGTATTAATGTCTGCTGTATTGTGCATGTACTGTACTGTATTATAATAGATCTATAATACACAAATACAATACACCATATGAGTTACACTGCACTACTGCTCACCAACAAGTGTGTAAAACCAGCATTCAAAATGTATTTTAAAACATTAGTTGTTCTAGTACTTTCTGACTAATCTGTAATCACATAAGGGTGTTACCACACCAATCGATCTATTGGTGACCGATGGTGGAATGGATTAGTCTATGTCGATCGAAAGTTTCTACCACACTGATCAATCAATGGCAGAAAGGATTAGTCGACGTCAATCAAGCTGCTTGATAACCCGCCCTGCTCCACCAAACCCTATTTAAAATGTCTTCTAGATAAATTTAAGCTATTTCTGACCCTAAAAATCAATTGCATCCAGAGTCTTCTGCATTTACGCCTATGTAATAATAATATGAGCAAGAGCCAACAATAACGCATCCTTTTCCATACATTTTGAGAGATACTAATGGTGAGCCCACCACCACATTGATTAATTGTCGATGAACATCTATATTCATTCATTGGTGTGGTAACACCCTAATCTTGTCCATAGCCAGATTGCCGAAAATAGTGATAATAAAATATTATATCTATGCTAAGATATAATAATATAATATAATAAGATAGATAATAAGAAAAAGATAAATAACTATGCCTAATCTTAACAGTGTGAAAGACAGGATATTTAACAGTTTTTATTAATCCTTTTTACCACTAAGTGACGGAGTAACAATACATATCATCCTATGGATGTCTTATGACGCGACAGAGGGAAATGAAAAAGCAGATGGGTAGCAGCATCATCCTGGTTACAACTCAAAATAATAAAAAATGCCAGTTTTCAATCCACTTGAACATTTTTTAAAGAAATGTTTAATGAGACCATGGCGTGCCATAAAATAATTTTGACTTTGTGATTTTTGGGAAAATAATAATACTAAATATGTACTATCAAATCAAAACTCTTTATTTACTAAAAAAAAACAATTTGTAAGGCAATAAATAATGTTTCATTTATAAGTGTAACTCAAATTAAAGTAGCAATACTTTGACTTTTGTTGTTGCAGATTAGATGACAAATAACTTATATTTGGGTTAACTATGCATCATTAGCAATAGTGGTTAACAATGTAACTACACAGTAACAAAACGAGCGTGTTTCACTTGTATAAACACCCGCATTTGTTTTTAATATTATACTTCACAGTGAACTTTTTGACTTGCCATATTTTGGTTTGCCATTCCTGCAGTAGACAGACAAGGCAACTGTAGTAAATATCACCTTTATGAGGCAGTCTATAGTAGGCCTCAGCAATGGATTATTGATAGGCAGTAATAAATGACCACAAACTAAACAAATTAACTACAGCTTTGTGCATCAAAGTTTCTAATAATGCTACACAAGTTTTAATCATAGAATATAAAATCTACAATGTTATTTCTGTGTGTAAGGCAACTAATATAAATATAGAATTGCTATCTGTAAATATTATTCTTAGACATGCAGATTTCTTCAGTGTTTTCCTTCACCCCCAAGCATTTGGCATACCAGCATTTAAAATTGCAAAATGCAATTTCAATGGTGCCAACAGACAGTAAAATCTATGTAAAAAAATTGATTGACCCTTCAGGCCATTCCTGTAACTTCCCACTAATTTCATGCAAAACACTCCAAATTCAACCTACCACGATAGTATTGAAAAAAATAATAAACAATGTTTTTAATTTTTTTCAAAATTATATATTTTGCGAACAATCTACCAAATTTGACGTGACAAAAACACTTCTTTGACATATTTTGACGATATCTCTTGAAGGAATCAACTGATTTTGATATGGTTCAAAGCAATCAACATACTTTTTTGATTAGAAGAGTTGATTAGATTGTATAATTGATCAAATCAAGGCTATCAAAGTAATGTTAAAAAAACCATTTTTTGGAAATGAAAAATACCCAGAATTTTTGAGATTTTCTCAGTATCTACTGTGATGATTCGGTCTAAATTCACAGAAAATCTAAGTTCAGCGAGGCCCTTTAAGATGCCACAAAACACTTTTTGATCAAACACCATTACAAAGTTAGGTGATGTTTACATACATACACACACATATATATGCACACATATAGACATACAGATATTATAGCAATCACATCGATTTTCTGAAAATAATTTATTTTCATAGCGGGTACTTAAAAAATTACAGGCTATACAGACAACTGCTGGGCACAGGCCTCTTCTTAATTTACGCATGGAAATATCTGCTGCGTTACCCCAATGCTTGTTGGTAGACTTCATATGTCTTCAAAACTTTTTCTCCATGGCCAAGCAAGTGTGGTATATTAGCAATTAAAGTTGCAATTACAATTTCATTAGTGTAGAGGTGAAAATCAAACCCAGGTTGCTCACATACTGCGAAGTTTACAGCAAGTACTTAGCCCCTAAACTACCACACCTCTGGATAACAATGGTAGTAATACTTTTATTAAAATTAACAAAAATAACAAATAAATCTTAAATGAGTAATATATGATTGTGTCATATGCATACAGAGATTAAATTCTTGAATCACCTTAATCAATCATTTTTATTTTCTCTTAAAGTAGAGTTAAACACCTTAAAGCTGGTCTTATACTCAAGAAAAATGAAATTTAATACTGCCTAATAAACAAAAAATTCTACTTTTATTTATCCTAATATGCTAAAAATACTGATACAACTGAAGAAACTAAAAGAACAATAAGTTCTACCTGAAACCTTTCCAAGTATTCTTTATCTACCAGAATAAAGAAAGTTTTAGTTTATATGCTTTTAGGTAATGTTTTAACACTTAAGCTGGAGCAATGAAATCGTACCAATTTTTTTAAGAACTGTTAGTTACAAATGTAAACCGTAAACAATACCTTCAAGATTTCTTGCTATATAACAGATTTTATCTTATTTATTTAACTTAGAAGGTTATGTTATGGTTGTGTAAAATATACAAAAATTTCAAAAGGATACTCCTCACTTCTGGCGGCGGATAAATAATACCGATAACTGGCGGAGGAGGCGCTGGGGGCTCTTCTGGAGGAACCTCGAGAGGCTGCCCAGGTGGAGCCATTACATCTATAGACGGCATTTTAGCGTCTTTTCTGATTACACTACAAACATAAACTCCTTGATCTTGATCCTACGTGGCAAACATTATCCACAAAACTAAATGAATATTAAACGGATTTCAAGCTTACAACAGTAAATTGTAAATTAAAAATAATAAATCCACACTCCAGTCAATCCACTCCACAGCACCATAGATAAATAAATATGTAGCAAGCTACAGATACGACAGTGACTTTTAGTCAAGTTTCCCAACTACGCCTTTTGGCGCTGCAGTCGCCCATTTGACAGATGAGTAATGACATGTATAGCTTAGGGATTGCAAGCACACATCCTTCAAATTATCGATATCGATGTTTAGTGGTGTTCTTATTTTATCGATATCGACATAAATGCAATATACAGGAATAATATTACTTAATGAAACAATTATAATACATCTACCTTATTTATTTTTTATTCAAGCACACCAACATCATATACATACAAACGTAATAAGTCATATATACAAATTAGAAAATTGTACATAACATTTTACATAAATAATTACAATTTGACGAGAAACAGAGCAATATTTATAGTTCATTAAATAAAGCAAATTAAACCACAGGAATCACATTTAAGTGCTTAATATTTTACTTTTCAAGTCATTTTTTATTAGAAGCAATGCTATTTATTTTTCATTAGGGGTAAACCTGGGAATTCTTTAACAAAAATTAAAAAAACATCTTCTCTTCTTTAATTTCATTTTCTACACCACGTAACCTGAAAAGAAATAAATAAAAATAAAGTTCAATATTCATATTTTATGACTTAATGATAATCGTAAATTATATATTATTTATATTAAGGTAACAAAGGGTGGCATCATGGCAGTTGCCATTTTTTATTGGTCAACCCATGGTGTGGTGAAAATAAAGTGGTAGATACAGTAAATAATAAATAAAAAACATATAAAGATTAACACTGTATACATCCATTATCAGGAGATTTCTCAATGTCTTCAGGCACGGAGTTCCAAATATGTGTAACCTTAATACTAAAGGAGTTTTTGATAAAACCATTGAAGTGTAGTGGAACTGTAATCTTTAGATTAGATGAAGAACAAAGAACTCTTACCGTGATTTGAGGATAGATATGCTGAATATAGATATAATAGATATGTTGAAACTTACCTAATTATGTCTAAGAATAAACTGAATTTATCATACGTTTTTGCCAATGGGTACATTTTGTATCTTCTGTCAACATTTGTCTCACCACATCAGCATTAGGTTTCTGTTCCTGAAAACCAACAATATTTGTGAATTTTGTTCTTTCTTATACATAAACCCAAAATTAAAGAATAAATATATAATGTATACTTCTATATTGTATGTATTAATGCTGTATGGCTACTGTTAACGACAGTTTAGTATTATCATAATTCAAAAGTGATCTATATTATCACGACGAGTGATCTATATTAGCACAGCACAAAACACAAATTATAAAATTATAAAGTTGTGTCCAGTGTTGCCAACCTCAAAAAACTAAAAAACAAAAGCTCGCCTAAAAAAACAGTAGAAAGCAGTAGGTAAAGAAAAAAAGGCAGATTTCATAATTTTGCTCATATAATTAAATAATAAACAATTTTATTAGTTACTAGAACTCACATACATTGATATATTTATAATCACAACAACAAAAAACAAAAAATTTTCAATTGCCTCATCTTCAATATTTTCACACTCATTTTTATTTTTAAAATCATACATATTTTTGTTGAATTTCTTCATGTGCCTTTCTGTGGCTTCAAATGAATAGCAATCGGTTATTTCGGATTTAGTGTGTAATACTCCTTTAATAGCTGTATTCGATATTCTGTTGCGTAATTTGGTTTTTCATAATATTTATAGCAGAAAATAACCTTTCCACGGCGGCGCTGCTATGTGGTAGGCACAAAAGCTTTTTTACCAATTCACACAATGTAGGGAATATTTGAGATTCGTCTCCATTTCTTAATTCTTGTACAAGTTTCCAAAAGTCGATAATATCGGGAGTTTTGTATTAGTTGAAAGAAAAATCGACATTTCTTAACATTCACCATTCTCTATAGTGATGTCATTCAGTTCCGTTATATTATTTGGAGAAATCTTTGGGAAGAAATAATGTAAATCTGCAATGGAAGGGCATTTCTTTTTTATTTCAGGATCCAGAATTGCTGTAGGATTTAGCATCTTCAGACATTTTATGCTTGACGGTCTTTGTCGTCAAAAGGAAACCTTTTTAATATCTGTTTTGCAGCTTCCATATAAAACTCCTTTAAGTAGAAATTTTTCAGCTGTTCTTCTTCTAGTTCTCCTATTTCTCTCTTTCTTCTGATCAGATTTGGCACCATTCCACCAACGTATATATGTTGCAACGGTAAATGTTTCTGCTCACTAGAAAAGTCTGTTCTATATTCTATAATGTGTAAGTATTATAAGGGGTGTCTCAGTAAGTGTGCTCTTTTTCATTTTAAAATAAAAACAAGTATTTTATGACAGAGTTGTGATATTTTTATTGTATTGTAAAGAAGACATGTTCCGATTAAGTATGGAATAAAATATCCGGCAAATGACCCCCACTGCTCCGATGACAGGCCATTTCTCTTTTCATGAAATTTTCCATGACTTTTGCACAGAGATGTGGCTGTATCTCACCGATGACGCGTTGGATTTGTGATTTGAGCTCAGGAATTGTTTCGGGTGTATTCGCATAAACCCGAGATTTCACAAAACGCCAAAGGAAAAAATCGCACGGCGTTAAATCGCACGATCTTGGTGGCCAGTTGACATCAAAGTTTTGTGAGATAATGTGTTCTGGAAAACGTTGCTGCAATAAGTCGATTGTTTCATGCGCGGTGTGGCAGGTTGCGCCGTCCTGCTGAAACCACAGTGTCCAGATCCATGCCGTCCAGTTGAGGCCACAAGAAGTCCGTTATTATATTCCTGTAACGAATGCCGTTCACAGTCACGGCAATTTCGGCCTCATTTTCAAAAAAGTAAGGTCCAATCACGCTACCTGACCAAAATCCGCACCAGACAGTTACTCGTTGTGGGTGCATTTGTTTCTCATGGATTACATCAGGATTTTCTGAGTCCCAAATTCGACAATTTTGTGTATTCACGAAGCCATCCATATGGAAATGCGCTTCATCGGAGAAAATGACTTTTTCCGAAAAATTGGTATCGACTTCACTTTGTTCCATTACCCATTGAACGAATTGCCGGCGCTTTCCGTGGTCTGCTGGTTTGAGCTCCTGAGTTAACTGAATCTTGTACGCATGAAGGTGGAGGTCTTTAGTCAAAATTCGCTGCGTAGTGCTTCGTGAAATTTGAAGTTGTTGAGAACGATGTCGAATTGATGTTTTCGGGTTTTCGGCAACACTCTCGTTTACAGCAGCAATGTTTTCAAGAGACCGACCGGTACCGTTGACGCAAAGGATTCTTATTATCCATAACCTTTCTTCAAATTTTTTAACCACTCTTCGAATGGTTGACACATTAGGTGCACTTTCTCGGCTGAAAATTTGGCGAAGTTTGCGAGCGGTTTCAGCGTAACTTTCCCCATTTTTGTAATGAGTTTTCACAATTATAACGCGTTGTTCTTTTGAAAAACTCTCCATTTTTAATAATGGGAATAAACAGAGATGACATATCAAATTTCAGAGTTGCCACTTGCATGAAAAAAAATTCCAATTTTAAAAAGTGCACTCTTACTGAGACACCCTATAGTTCCCTTTGCGTCTAAAATATTTTGTGCTTCATTTTTTTTCTTGTTCAGTGAGATTCAAATATTCAGTTTGTACAAAGCATCCCAAGATAGTTGTGTATGCGGTCAGTATTTTGTCGTATAGTAAATATAATTTCAGAGTCTCGGATTGCATTTCTTTATTGAGATCGGTAAATATAGGTAATGCAAATTTAAAAAACTCCAGGTACAATTCAGTTGTTGGTTCGAGAGCCTTGGAGAGAATTGATTGCGCAGAAGGTAATCTATCTACATGAACTGCAGCTTGAAAATACAATTTTATAGCTGGTAATTGTTCCAGAAGCCTATTTACTACCTCAATAAGTGACAACCATCTGGTTTGGCTAGGGTGGAGCAATTTGTGTGGTTTAATATTTGTGAATGCTTGAAATGTTTTGAAATCTCCAATACGTTTTGGAGAATTTTGTATATGATTATATACGTCTCTACAGAAATCTTCCACGCCCCTTGGCAATTTCTCACATGCGTATGATGCGCAAAGGTTAAAAGAATGACAAATGCACTTCATAGTAAAAAGGTGAGGTATGTCATTTTTAAATGAAGTGACTAATGAATGTTTATCTCCAAACATAACGTTAGCGCCCTCAGAAGCAAAGCCTATTATGTTTGATTTGTAAAGAATATTTTTTTCAACAAAATATTCTACTATTTTGCCATACAACGCTGTTGCTGTACCATCTACGATTGGTATTTCATTATTATATTAAGTCAGAAATCTATCTTCAACGCTGAAATCTAATTTTACTATTCTTACGACAAGCGCTAAATGTTATATCGTAGACTTATCTGTCTTTCTCAGTATCAAGCAATTGTTCTGTAACATCTCTATTATATTTTCTTCTGTTGTCTGCCTAGTTACATTAACAATAACAGCTCTAGCTTTTGTGCGGCTCATTGATAATTGTTCCGCAATTTTCGAATCTGGACATACAGCGCAAATCAATGTATTCAAATGAGATGCTATGTTAAAAGACAGATTATGTTCAACAATAAAGCAGGCCATTTTTACTTCACCCGCTTTAGCTATAATTTTTGTACCTTGTGAGTTGGAAGCTGAGGTAAACATTGGTCAGTTTTTGTTGTTTTTGTAATTCCAAACTATTCTTCGCTTGTTTTGTTGAATCTTTGTGTCGTAACAGTTCGTGTATACCACATTTTCTGTCGCAATTACACGCAGAACAAAAGAAATGTCTCATCTTTAGTGCTTTTCTTTAACCAGCCTTTGAA